GGGGGGGAGGGGGGGGGGGGAGGGATTGATTAGAACAAAAAAATGCGGCAAAAAAACAAAAAGATACCCTACATGAGAGGGACCTTCAAGTCGTGAGCAAAGAAGACTGACGTGTGCAATTATTCAAGCATGGCAGATCAAGGCCACAGCATCAAGCTGGGCAAGTAATCAAAGATGGGGGGGGGGGGGGGGGGTATAACACAAAGGATTGCAGTTTTCATGGCAGAGGCTGGCAGCGACCATCCCTTCATAGTGTTCGGCGCAGAGACTATGCCATGCAGATGCTCTAACCGGACTTTACCTGTGTGATGACACAATGGGACGAGGGCCACAATCTCCATCCCCTGGAGAGGTCCCTCCTTCACTGTGCGTGGTAGAAAAACAAGTGACGGAGTGTTGTTTTCTAGTGCCTTTCTTTTGATCACTTGGGACACTCGTTTCTCCCATTGAACATACCTGATTTTGATTCATAGCTTGCAATTGATTAGCATTCAAAGTATTTATCATTCCATCGAACCATTTTGGCGCTCCAGACACGCTTGAACACAAATAACCTATACTAGTTGTTGTTGTGTGTGTTGTAAGTTTCCACCACAACAGCCTGATTCCACCCAGACAAGTAGATTCCAGTTGAGCCAGCACAACAACTAAAGAATTCACCTCTATAACAAGCAACATGAATCATAATTGAAGCATTTTGAATTGTGTTTCGTCGAGGGTGTTTTTTTTGTTTTGTTTTGTTTTTTTTACACAAACAGCCCCATGGGACAGCTTGAGATGCTGGTAGGAGCAGTCGCCTCAAGCTAGCCCGGGGTGGCTCCATCTATTGGTGGGGAGCAACACCTGCTGGGAAGTGGGCCCAGCATCTCATTAATACAATTATTCCACATATAACATCCATAACAAGGCAATTGGACCCTGTAGGGGAAGTTTCTGCGATGACCAACCGAAGGCCTGAGCTGATATGCATACTGAGATACCTCAAAATTAATGTCCGACCCTCCCCCAGTTATCGTGTTCACTAGCGCTGCCAGCAACAGCTCCTCTTTACTATGCCTCACATGTACAAGGCTGCCCACGTTGATTGTGGTTGAGCGGCAGCTGCCCACATCCCCGCGTGCCTTAATGGCCCACTTGCACATTATAACAGGAGGCAGAGTAAACGGGAAGGTATGCTCCTGTGTATTTCTCTTCTGATCTTCATATCGTCTGTTCTCTTAACGATGCTCATTCATATGTTTTTGCTAGTAGCACAAGAGGGGAGGGTGGAGGGGAGGGTGGAGGGAAAGGGATAGAAGCCGGAGTTCTTTAGGAGTGTGGGGTAGGGGGAGACAAATATGTGAAGGACAGGATAAAGTACGACATGCGAAGGGCAGGCGAGGGGGGTATGACGAACTTTGCAGAACTCTAAACACTCACCACTGGAACATACTACTCTCGAATGGCATATGAGGTAACAAAAAAAAAACACTGCGCGCAAAATCAATGAAAGTGGGAAGCTGAAATACCACTGTGGAAAAAAAAAAAGGCAGTGATCTTACATTCTGTGCTTCGCACCATAATGCGGCGGCCTCTTGGGAGTGCTTATTGGAAACTGATACGAATTTGGATTTTAACGTCCTGGTGTTTGTTGACTGTAGGAATACCACCGGGAAGTTGGTGGCATAAGATTTCGAGTTGAGCAGCAGCTATTGCCTACGGTACGTGGCCACCCCTACAGACCGGACAGGGCCGGTTCGGGTGTGGACTATGCAAGCACAGCATCCAATTTTCGCAGTCACAGTTGCTGCATGGAATGGCGTGGCGCAGACAGATTTCACAGGCTACGTGGCTCCTACACGGAGGCGCGTCAACCGCAGTTATAGAGGCATCGCCGTTCCAGCCCGTCTACGAATCGGACATGACATGTCAGGGTGCCATACACGAGTACAGTACTGACTGTCGTTGTACCTATGAAAGCAAAAACTCGCATGGACCATCCCTCCCTAATCCTCACGGCACAAGGCATGCGAACCACATGCTAGTTGAATCTCCAGCAGGTCATCACACAACAACATGGAGCATCTTTGTTGGGTTTCCTCAGTATTTATTCCTTCTCTATGGGCAGACAACGACAGGGGAGGATCTGTCCAAAGCAAAGGTGTTCAGCTGCTGCAGAATCTAGTCCGCAACAGCTCGTCCTGGTGGTGATAAACTATCAGCACATCGCTCTGCAGATGGTTCAGATAGAAGGCTATTTTCCTCCTCGGGCCGCTGTGTCTGTCGTTCATCTGACCAGGAGGAGGGAGATCCGTCTGCGGTTGCAATAGGTGTATGACCAACACCACATGTGGGACATGCAAGGAGAGGATGCGGAGGACGAATGGCACCAGGGATACTCCACGCAGTAAAGAGATACTTTCTATGACAGCTTCCTGGAAACACTGACGACATATGGCATGTTGCTGACATGTCATCAGTATGGAAGGTTGGCGTGCACAGTTATTTAAGCATGGCATATTTAAGCATGGCAGATCAAGGCCACAACGGCATGGTGGGCAAGCAATCAGGGGGTGGGAGGGATGAGCACAAGACAGGGGATCACAGTTTTCGTGGGAGAAGCTAGCAGCGACCATCCCTTCGTAGGGTTCAGAGCAGAGGCTATGCCGTGTACATCCCAACCGAACTGTACCTGTGTGACGACACAAAGGGAGGGCACAGCCACCATCCTCTGGAGAGGTCCCTTCACTGTTTGCGGTAGAAGCATCCGGATTGCTCTCCGGGGGTCGCAGTGCTTGCAAGTGCTCATCAACATACTATACAGTTCCTGATGGAGGAGCCAGAGTGAGTAATCCTCCACCATTTGGTGAAACAAACAGTTAATGTATCCCGCTGTATGCACCCCACCGCCATTGTCCCATAGGGTCCATGAATTATCCGCAAAGGTAAGAGCACTGAAATGACCTGGATGACGTAAGATATATGCCCGAATAATCGGATCCATGCCTGGCACGTGGTTTTGAGGAGCAGGCTGGAATTGTAGTTGTCTATCCATAAATTCCATAGCCAGGACTTCTATGTTCACACCAGGTGCAGCACTGTCGTCCTCTGGGCAGACGGCACGGTGCTCTTCTTCTATCCAGCGAACAACATCTGCAAAATCAGAAACAGTATTAAGAGTTACAAGTGTAAGCAAGGAGACATACATTAATGGCATAGTACGCGCAGCAGCCTGGCGCTATGACATCGTCTGGTTCCGCAGGTTGCGTGGGAGATTCGTTCGCGGCAGGGGGAGATTCGTTCAATTCTGCAGATTGCACAGGTGGCGGAGATTAATTGCGGTCTTGACCAATTGGCTCTTTAGTGTGCGCTCCAGAGAGAGATGATCTTCAATCGGGGGCTCCATCAGGTAATCAGAAGACGGCTCATTGTCACTCGGGGCAGGGGAGTAAGCAGGGCTAGGTGGACGAGAGAGGGGCGGGTCAACTGGATGGACCAGACGCGGGAAGCAGAAGCTGATCGCCGTAGTTGTGCTCAGAGCGGTTGCTAGTCGCGCAAACGCTGCACAAGTAGCTGCATCTCGTGTCTGGTGGACACGCAGGCCTGCAGTACTGAAGAAATCATCGCCACATTGCCGGCATCGGACTAGACATGTACTATTCCTGGCTACCGTGCATCGAAGGCGACGACGTCGTTCCGAGCGTTACATGTGGGACAGGAACAGAGAGGATGTGGCAGGTGATGCCATCGGGGATAGTCCATGCAGGTAGTCTCCATGACAGACTTCTGAAGGCATTGACCACACATGGCCTGTTGCTGGCATGCTAGCAGGAAAGCAGGCTCAAGGTCGCAGTTATTCCAGCATGGCAACTCGGGGCCACAACGGCATATCGAGCACATAATAAGGGGCTGGG